CCCCACCCTCCCGCTGTGCCCAGTCCGTGTGAAGTTTAACAAGAGGGTGTGCGGCAAACAGTTTTGGGGACATTTCAGGCCTGACGGGGAGCAGACGGCGGCGGCTACCTGTCAGGGGTCAAAGATCACGACGAGAAGTCACAGAGCAGCAGACGACAAACGAGCGAATGTGACATCCGTAAGCCGAGCCAACGTCCAAGAGAGCCACGGTCGCGAGAGGTAGAGTTGAGTTGTTTGCTAATGGTCACGTGACCAACAATGTTGAGCAAATGACCAGGCGACCTCTGACCCTTGACATGTCAACCAACAAAAAGCAATAGTGTAAACATCGATACTACAGGCCCGTTATATTGACCTATCGTAGAGCACGGTGTACATCAGTTTATTTAGTTAACCAATCACACCATTTGTTATATCAGTTTTAGCTGACCCGTGGCTGCATTTGTTAGGCCTATAAGATCAGTTTATTTAGCTGACTAATGGTGTCCCCCCCCCCCCCCATATCTTACATCAACCAATTACCGCCGCTGGATCCAGTAGCTGAGAGGTCACTGACCTTAATTATAATGTAGTCGTTACTGACATACGGTTTTAATTAAGCTGGACTACAGATAGGTTTACACGAGAGATGGACTACAGGTAGGTTTACACGAGAGCTGGACTACAGGTAGGTTTACACGAGAGCTGGACTACAGGTAAGTTTACACGAGAGCTGGACTACAGGTAAGTTTACACTAGAGCTGGACTAGGTTTACACGAGAGATGGACTACTGGTAGGTTTACACGAGAGCTGGACTACAGGTAAGTTTACACTAGAGCTGGACTAGGTTTACACGAGAGATGGACTACAGGTAGGTTTACAGTTTACATTATAATTTTACATGTTGCCCAGATTTGAAGAGATAAATCAGCACATACGTGTAAGTCACTGTTTTAAAATGGCCTTTTCTTGTCCCAAAACTATCTGGACCATAGGCTCCCTACTGACCCATTAACCTAATTAATTATCACCTACAAAACCAGCGTTATCAGCTAACAACAGGATGTTTAGGGAGTTGGTTCAACCGATCAAAGTCAAGGTCATCTCTACACATGCTAACCAAATACGCAAGAGGGATGCAACATACCTTTCAACGCTGACCTTTCAACTAAAAAACAAACACTCGCAGTTTCAGCCATATGTATATATTTGTATGTACAGGGGAATTCTCTGTAGGGACCGACCTATCCCTAGCCCGACCCCACCAGATAACTTTACCCAAGCCGCCACTGAAGCCCAACGAAGTCCTGTTTGGGGTCAATCCCCCCCCCCCCAATTCGTTAAGAAAAGTCACGTGATCCGGCACCAGCTATGTGAGGACGTGTTGCGCGATCTTGTGAAAGGTGAACTCACCTTGTGCCAGCCGAGGAATGTAGGTCATCGTCTGATTGATCTCACCCCCAGATCGTCTGTGACCTAGTTCCGCGGTTTGATAAGTTTCTAAAAATAGGATTCTAAGAGATCTGACCTTTAAAATAGACGCGGTTGGGTGTTTGCGCTTTTCTCCGTCACGTGGTGTAGCTGACCAATCATAGCCTGGCATCTTCTTTAAGAAACTTTATTTCAACTCTGCTAACTTGACTAATCCCACGCGATGCCATGATTAATTAAGTTAATTAATTACGTGGCTGACTAATTCCATTACAATGTATTCTGATTCATCTGACTTTCGCGTTAAAGCTACTTTAAAACAAATAGTGTTATTTTTGTACTTTCCTATTAGCATTAACGTGGACCTCGCTGGGATGTTACCAAACAATTTTTCTACCGAACAAGTAACCCTAACGTTAAACTCGCAGACTGACTCCAAATTAAACGATTGCAGTATCGTTTTCTTCTATATTAATGGTATCGTTACCTTCAATACCGGTAGTATCGTTACCTTCAATACCGGTGGTATCGTTATCTGCGATACATGAGACATAATAGAGCCCAGGGCTAGAATCCCCTGGAATTCGACCATCAAGCTAGGATTCAAGCAGACGTTTCTAGAAAAACCAGTCATCTTTTACATCAAACACATTTTCCTTCTAGAACTTTAAAAAATTCTGAAAACCCAAAAAAAAAAAAAAAAAAAAAAAATGACATGTGTGAAGCTGCTTTCAAGTCCCGTTCACACAACTTTTTGCGTGATCTCACATTGTCTGTTCCTGAAATTACTGAGTAAACGATTTACTGAAGTGAAGTTTGAAAACATTTGACCACCCTTTTTGTCTAGTCTTTGCCTGGTCAACGTACCCGGACACTTACCATTTAGGGGAGGGTCAGGTGGCTCATCGGAAAAGGGTGATGGGTCTCACTAATATTGGGTCTCACTTTCGATTGGTTGGGTCTCACTTTTGATTGGTTGTGTCTCACTTTTGATTGGGTCTCACTTTGATCGGGTCGCCGTATGGATGCGCCTCACTGATGACAAGTCTTTGAATGCCTGTGAACTTAATTTACCAGGTAACATCCATCATAAAGCAGCGTACCAACAGTGTGGGGGGGGGGGGGGATGCATCTGCCCCGAGCCCGCCCCTAACGAGCAGACAATAGACCGCTTGACCAAGCTAGGATAGACCACCATTAGCTGGACAGACAGCAGACGAGATAAGGTCACCGCGGTGAATGCCTGGGTCCAAGTGCGAGCAAATGGTCAGTTTCACTGTTGATTTCTCTGGTCAGATGGACTGGTCATTCCGCTGCTCGGCGTGACTAGGCGGTACTGCGCGTGGCCAGCGGACAGAGTCCAGTCGTTGCCTGCACGAGCATCAGGTCAAGTGGTCAGTGTCGTCCCGACACGGCTCACCCCCTGACCTTGTTGCTGTTGGTCAGTTGTACGGCCAGGTGCCGGGGATGCTGGGGCTGAATGCCAGCACTTGATCACCCCTACACCACTCACCTCCCCTACACCACTCACCTCCCCCCCCCCCCCCCCCATTGTACCATACAAAAATATGACCATCGAATGTCACATCTAATGAAAAATAAGACACCCCGCCTTCTCATCCAACCCGTTCCCTCCCCCATCAAACCCAGGATATAAATGACTTGATTTAACCATTACAATGAAACACGTCCAAACCTTTAATTAACGACAATCAAACCCCAGCCCCCCACCCCCCACGCCCCCCCCCACCCCGTCTTGGCTGGTGAGTGCAGGTAACGCCTGTCTGTTCAGTCCTCACACGTGTAGATCAAAGCTAGTTTTACCTGTCTGAGTTGTCAAATATTTGTTTTTATGTTCGGACCAGCAACAAACAGTTGTTGTAGACAAACAGTTGTACACGTGAAGTTTTGTCTCGATGGTCTGTCTGCTGGTGGTGGTGGGGGGTGGGAGGATGTGCTGAGGGGTGGGGAGGGGAGGGTGTTGGGAAGGGGTGGAGACGGCGGGGAGGGTGTCTACATTCTGCCGAGCATTTATTGAACGCGTTCTGCTCGTCTTGACCTTGACGTCACGCGCAGACACTTGTCTGCTGCAAGCCACGTCGTGGACGTCTGCCCACTTCTCGTGGCCGTCCACTTACCCTGGCCGTCCACTTATTGTGGCCGTCCACTTACCGTGACCGTCCATTCGTTGTGCCCGCAAGTCCTGTGTAATACACACACTCAAAGTTCAACTGTTTATTAATACCCTAATTAACATTTCCACCTCTATTAGCGCCCCCAACACACCATTAATGACCACCGCCATCCCACCATTAATGACCGCCGCCATCACACCTCTAATGACCGGCCCAAACACCTGTCTGGCGTCCTCCTAGTGTGGTCACAGCTTGTACCAGCGCCCTTTGACCCTCCTCCCTCTGCGCAAATGTCGATACTGCGGTCAAGGTTGAGCTGGCGTGAGGGAGTTCAAAGAGAGCTCATTAGCATAATTTCAATGTTTTCCTACTCGCGAGCATAGATCTACGTAGTTTTCATATTTTAAACCGATTAGCCGTACACAAAGACCGTTTCGTCACGTGATAAGGTGGTTAAAACACCAGGACCTTTAACTAAATTAGAACACCATTTTGGTGGGAGCCTTTTTGTTGGGAGCCATTTTGGTGGGAGCCATATTGCGTGACAATTTCATATGACAAAAGAAGTCAAAGAAAGCCAGCGTGTAATATTTACAATGTTGCTTCCATTTTGATCAACACAAAATCTAAGTTACCTTTTACAAAGAGAAAAATAATAAGTTGAGTATTATTTGTTTTGGTTATAACTCAACCAGTGAACTACATCACAGATAGCCAAACCATCTGGTATTAACTGAAATAAAAATTGTCAGAGAACAAATATATTGAACATCTTATTTTTGGATTAATTTAAATATGGAAATTTGTTGGTGAAATACATTTATTTTTTAAATAAAAAGTAATTAAATGTTTTTGGCAATAAAAATAATAAACATTTTATGTCTTTTAAAATAACATAACAAATGCGTATCATCAAATCAGCGCAGTTTCAAGTGCAACCGACAAAAACTTTTCTCAGTCAAATACAGTATCAACATTAGTTGTCATCACTTGCTGTCCAACTATTGTTTCCCTCAGTAGTAGGCCCTAATAAATTACTTGCATTACTAAAACTTGCTAATGATTGGCTGTATAACATAGACAACAAACCGTATCTCACCAACAAATAGACATATTTAAATTTTCACTTTACTATATAGCTATTAGCTTTTACTAGACCAAATTATTTAGTTATTAGCTTTTACAACAACACATTATTTTAATGTTTAAATCACAAGCTTATATCGTTTTTTCATATAAACTTGATACTTGAACCTAACGTACTCACGTATGAGCTAGATGAAAGCGGATTTTCTATTGCCGACCCTTTATCTGCGACGGCATGAAGATGGAGGTTCGCATGTTTATATGTGCTCACACGTTTGAGTACGTTAGGTTAAAGTGTCATGTTTTTATGTGTTCACATGTCCACTGTACCGGAAATTTGTTCGCTCGGCCGTAGAGACTCGTGTACGTTAATGACCCTTGTCCCTGCTTGGTGGCCCATGTACTGTGGTGGCCCATGTATTGTGGTGGGCCATGTACTGGGTGGCCCGTGTACTGTGGTGGCCCGTGTACTGTGGTGGCCCATGTACTGTGGTGGCCCATGTACTGTGGTGGCCCATGTACTGTGGTGGCCCATGTATTGTGGTGGCCCATGTATTGTGGTGGCCCATGTACTGTGGTGGCCCATGTACTGTGGTGGCCCATGTACTGTGGTGGCCCATGTACTGTGGTGGCCCATGTACTGTGGTGTGGCCCATGTACTGTGGTGGCCCATGTACTGTGGTGGAGTGGTGGCCCATGTACTGTGGTGGCCCATGTACTGTGGTGGCCCATGTATTGTGGTGGCCCATGTACTGTGGTGGCCCATGTACTGTGGTGGCCCATGTAATGTGGTGGCCCATGTACTGGGTGGCCCGTGTACTGTGGTGGCCCATGTGCTGTGGTGGCCCATGTACTGTGGTGGTCCATGTACTGTGGTGGCCCATGTACTGTGGTGGTCCATGTGCTGTGGTGGTCCATGTACTGTGGTGGTCCATGTGCTGTAGTGGTCCATGTACTGTGGTGGCCCATGTACTGTGGTGGTCCATGTACTGTGGTGGCCCATGTACTGTGGTGGTCCATGTACTGTGGTGGCCCATGTACTGTGGTGGCCCGAAATGGCGCCTGGCGAGGGTTCCGCTTTATCCTAGCATGTCCAATTTGTTGTCTAGACGAGTCGTCAGTCCACATGGGGGGGGGGAGCTATCGGTCAATCTTCACGCCGTCTGCTCAGTTGGGTGACGTAGATCAAAGAATTTCACGGCACGGCCTTTACGTGGGGTGGGGGGGGGCACATCAAGGTCACGTGCTCACCAGTCAAGACACCGGGGTCGTCTGGTCACCTGGGTCAGACTGTTACATGGGTCACCTGGGTCAGAAGTACTCACACTCTGCTGGGTCGGGTTGTTACATGGGCTAGTAGGGTCAGAAATACAAGGTGCTGAGTTAGTCCCGATTGTAATGTATGCTGGTCAGAATTTAATTAAACGTCACCGTGTCAGGGGCGGGGACCAATGGGGGGTCATGTTTCTTAATTGGAAGGTCAACTTGGCATGCGACGTGACCTTTACTATCCCAACAGGTCAGTTGTAAGGTCACCACGCCCTCTCCTGTAGATGACCTTAAGAGGTCACAACAGGGGCGGTAAGGCAATTATTTCCAGAAAGTTCCGGCGCCTTAAAGTTTTGACACGAGAACGTCCAGCGGTCAGTGGTCAGCGATTGGACTAGACTGAAATATCAGGGCTTGTAATGGTCAGGCTTCAGTAGAGCCTGAGATTTATTTAAATTATACCCTCTCACAGGGCATATGTCTTATGTTATCCCAAATCTAGTAAACATAGGACCCTCTCACAGGGCATATGTCTTATGTTATCCCTAATCTAGTAAACATAGGACCCTCTCACAGGGCATATGTCTTATGTTACATGAATTGATCTCATGCTCTCTCTGTAAAATAACTATGGTGCCTAGCTATAACATGTTGCCTAGCTATAACATAGTGCATAGGTATAACATGGTGCCTAGCTATAACATGGTGCCTAGCTATAAAATGGTGCCTAGCTATAAAATAGTGCCTAGCTATTAAATGGTGAATGGCTATAAATGGTGCCCAACTAAAAACATGGTACCCAACTATAAAATAGTGCCTAGCTATAAAATGGTGTTACGAAGTTTTCTCAGATATACCGAGTTTTTTTTTTTTATGACACCCCTAGGCGTTCCTCTACCACATCACAAAATATCAAGGGGGGGGGGGGGGTCGTTCGGCAAAAAAAAGTTCGTTTTATATCTCAAATAAGGAGAATTTCACTCACGGTTATATTTTAGCCCTTGTCGAGGGCTTTGAGTCAAACCGACAGTTTTCCCAAATGGCCTAGCCATTTGCGGAAGTGCATGCAAAAAATTAGCCAGAACTAAAATCTCTGTTAAGATTTCCCTCTGTTTTTCCCGTAAAATACAAAGATTATATAGGGAAATACGACTGGTCAGTTTTGACCACTTTACGAAGTTTTCCCAGATATGCCGAGTTTTTTATGACACCCTTAGTCGTTCTCCTACCACCTCACAAAATATCAAGGGAGGTCGTTCGGCAATTTATTTTTTTCGTTATATAGCCCATACAAGGCGCCGATCAGCCGAGGTCAGTGTTGACCCCCTCATCGTCGACTTTCGGCCAACCGGCACCGGCCCCCGTGTTCTATTGCCCCAAGGCAGGATCCTACCAAATTTGAAGCACCTGCGGCGTCTGGAGAACTTTGCTTTATATATATATAGATTACAGATGCCAGGGTAGGAGGTGATGACAGGTGGTATTTATACCTACGTGTGTGCAAGTATTTGAGGTTTTGAAAAAAATTGAAGCTTGTGATGCAAACGTTAAAACTTAAGTTTGTATAGTGAAAACAATTAGGTGGTAAATTTGGGGGCCCCTAGCTGCAGCCCTTTCAGCACCCCCCTTAATCCGCCACTGATGGTGAGTAGAAAATGAAAATGCTTAGTTTGAGAGAAAGAGTAAAGTGGTATGAGCAAGTATTTTGTGTGCGTGATGCTGTGATCTACAAGTGGTGACTAGCCTACAATAGGTGACTAGCCAACAAGTGGTGACCAGCCTACAATAGGTGACTAGCCAACAAGTGATGACCAGTCAACAAGTGGTGACCAGCTAACAAGTGGTGACCAGCCAACAAGTGGTGACTAGCCTACAATAGGTGACTAGCCAACAAGTGGTGACCTGTCAACAAGTGGTGACTAGCTAACAAGTGGTGACCAGCCAACAAGTGGTGACCAGCCAACAAGTGGTGACTAGCCAACAAGTGGTGACCAGCCTACAATAGGTGACCAGCCAACAAGTGGTGACCAACTAAACAACCACCAATAAATCAAACGAAGAAGATTAACCCAGAACCCACTGTGAGAAATTCGAGTTTTTTCCCTTCCATCACGTGGCCGGAAGTGCCATTCCGGAAGTTGGTTTAAGGTAAAGTCTAACGGTCAGGTCACACTCACATAACCTATAAACCGTTAATGGTAAATCATTTTTAAATATACCAACTTTGGAACAGAACAAAACTAAACACAACACAAACGAACAAACGCAAAAAAAAAAAAACAACGAAAAAACGAACACAACACTCATAACATAAACACAATTTAAATGCAATCATAAAGGCATATTGCTCACAGTCTAGCCCGTAGCGCCAAATCGCGCCCTTTCCGAGTCCCGGCGGACGCGTCTGACACAGTGAATGACTACAAAACAGAGGCGTTGCGACCCTTTCCGGCGCCCGGGGACAAACTTTCGATTTGACCCTCCCTCAAACTTACGATTTGCACCCCCTCCCCTCAAAATTTCAATTTCCACCCATCCCCTCAGACTTTCGATTTGCACCACTTTTGATTTGAAATTCCCCCCGCTCAAACTTTTGATTTGCATCCCCTCAAACTTTCGATTTGCACCCTACCCCCCTCCCCCTCCCTAAAACTTTCGATTTCCACCCCCCCCCCCCCTAGCTACGCCTCTCTTATAAAACCCCAGCTTGTCCGCAAACCGAAAGATAGAATAATAATAAATAATATACAATAAAAAATAGGCAATATCTATAATATCCGTGTTTACCTACCAAACCATATATCACTTTATCAATTCACGCATTTTTTTCCCAGTATTTTAATTTTAAAAATTTACAATTGAGTTTCATAACTAAAACCATTGCGCACCCAATGTCTATAATGGTGCGGAATAGTTGATTAAAAATTATAATTAGTAAACAGTACATTCAGTGAATAAAAAGAAATAAAAGATAGCCTTTTATCAATCAATGTGCTAATAATAATATTCCAACAATAATGTACTCTTACACGTCAGCATAATTTGCATTCACATTTTGCTAATTATATTATTCCAACAATTATTCCGTCTTGCAGATTTTGCATTCACATTTTTAGCGTGAGTTCAATTTATCTTTGAATTACCTCCATTGGCAAAATTACTAAGCAGTTTAATTAGATTTTTCTACCCTACTGTTATTATGTTAATAAAATGTATCCACTTTTTCTGGGAATATTAAAGAAAACTATATTTGACATTGATCCTTTTAATATGTTTTAGCAATGTGCGTGTATTTAATATTCTCTTTACGTTATGCAAAATTGTACAAACAGTGGAAATTATAAAATAGCTCTATGCCGCTATATAAACAAACCCTACTCTAATACTTATAATAAGACACTGCGGTGCACTGAAAAGCACAGCATGGTGCGTAGTTTACTTTTATAGTCCCAAAATCTATAGCGATGACGGAAGGAAGGAAGGACTGACACACTACTTGCCCGCTTATATTATAGTGGTGACCATCCAACAAGTGGTGACCAGCCAACAAGTGGTGACCAGCCAACAGCCACCTATAAATCAAACGAAGAAGATTAACCCAGAACCCACTGTGAGAAATTCGAGTTTTTTCCCTTCCATCACGTGGCCGGAAGTGCCATTCCGGAAGTTGGTTTAAGGTAAAGTCTAACGGTTAACCCGATCTTCATCTCCCCCACCCGGGGTGCTATGTGATAGGGTTTATGTCGGTCTTTAAACGTCAGGGGTGTGTGTGGGGGAGGGAGGAGGGTGGTTGGAGTATACGTCGCAAACACCTGAACAGAGATTTATCTTCTGCTGTGGGAGGCAACTGCTATTTCAGGGGCACTCACTCTTGGCCGTTTGATAATGTCTATTTTAGTCAGGAGAAATTCTTCGATAACTTTTAGACGTTTGTAAAGATAGGCAGCTCATTACAGCAGGTTTAATCAGGACATTAAAACAGCTTTCGTTATTTAGTCACGATGTTAAATCAGCTTTAGTCGGCGAACAGGATGTAAAGCTGTACACCAAATAAAGAAATGGGCTGTTTCGGGTACACACACACACACACACACATATATATATATATATATATATATATATCAAGGGTAGGATATATATATATATATATATATATATATATATATATATCTATATATATATATATATATATATATATATATCAAGGGTAGGATGTGTTCTAGAACTAGTCAGGGTTAAGGTTAGGGTTATTGACCTGGGTGGGGAAACCCAACGTCAGCTGAAACTAGAACATCGGACAAGTGAAAATAACATCTTTGTTTTTAACTAGAGACCCTCACATAACATCTTTGTTTACAAGTAGACCCACCTCTCCCCTCATAACCTTTGTTTACACTAGCCTCCCCCCCCCCCTCAACCTTGACTAAGAAGCCTCCTTAAATATGTATTTCCGTTGGACGTGTTATGCTGGAGGTCGCCATCTTTGTTGTTGTTGTAAGTTAAAGTGCAGGGGAGAGCCGTGACCTTGGGACCTGACCTTGATGGGACCTGGAACCTCTTTGTTGTCAAACATGCACTGCAGCCTAGTGCAGTCACGTGGTCTACTCACCCCCATCGACCAGACCTGTCATAAACTTGGTTTGTTTACAACTGTGTCCTACTTGTATGTGGGTCAAGTTCGTGTTGACAACTAAAGATCTGGAGCATCCAAGTATTAAACTAAAATCCGGTCAATCGATGGACGGCAGGCTCGGAGCTCCGAGGGTTT